GGAACCGATGTGCTTGGCCAATGCTGGAGCCTGCAGGTGTGGCAGTGTATTCACCAGCACATCTAACCTGTCATGCCTCTGGAACACTGCCTTAGCATGATCTGTCATTAGCAGGAGTTCCTCCTCGGCTGCCATCAAGTATCCGTCCTGGTTAACCAACTGTGTTTTCGGCTGCGGTTGCCAGGGTCGAAGAGTTTTCAGGGTTTTGTGGCTCAAGTAGGAATCTCCCGTATTGGCTGAGTGAGCTACTCGTTGCTTCTTTGCCAATGATACTGCTTGCTTATGCCAAGTCGCCAGGTCATTGACCAACACCTCGTGGTCTGCCTGTGTCAGGGATTGGCTTCTTAAGTCTTCGTCCAGTGCAGACAGACGCGACCACATTCTTTGAGTTGCCCTGTGCGTGGCGTTCAGCGGGGGAGCTGAAGGTTTAGGGGCACGCGGAAAGTACCTCTCTGAAGCACGTATGAGGATGTCATTGACCTCATTCATGTCCGGAGGAGTCAGCTGCTGAAGCTGGTCAGCGACCCACTCCTTCATTTCTTGTGCCTTAGGATGATTGTAACGCACTGCATTTTCAAGAGCATGCTTGTCATAGGGCGGGGGGGGAGGGGGGGGAGGGGGAAGCTGTCAGTGCCTCATTGGGCGTATTTGTGCTTCCACGGGGAGATGGCCACCCTTCTTCCATTTCCCGAGCGGGAAATTGTCGATTGGCTTGCTCTTCTTAGCATCACTTCGGGAGATAGTCTGCGGGACTAGGATGTAGTCCAATTGAGATTGCGTTGTGGCCGTCCGGAAAGTAAATCCTTTCCCTGAAGACCAGGTGTTCAGCGCAACTAATCCATGTCCCTGAACCAGCCGTTGGAAGTATTCGTCTTCGGTCTTTCGATGTGGAGGAGGTCCTGGAGTGCACAAGCCAACCGCTCCTGGGCTCGACTGTAGGGTCGAGTTGAAGTCGCCCAGCACTATCAGGGTGTCTCTCTGCGGTGTTCCTCGGATGGCACGGGACAGAGCAGCGAGGGTGGTGGATCTGTCTTCTCTGTTTTTCTGTGCAGTTTTTGAGGTCGACCATACGTGCTGGTATACTGACACAACGTGTACTCGAGCTCCCTTCCACTGAAAGACTATCTCAAGGACACGTCCCTTCTGATGCTCTTTCCATCTGACCGTGTCTTTTGGAATGTGCGGGGCAGTCAGGACCATCACTCCATCTGCTCGCTTGTCATCATGCAGGGCATGGGATTGGGCGTCTGGCAGTGCCAGTCCCGTTCCTTCTGTGCTCGAATTTGGCTTTTTCTTAGCCCGGGTGGCCTTCGCCTGTCCTTTGCTGGCAGAGCTAACACAGTGCCAGCCCTCCACCTCAAATTCGGTGGTTTCCTGCCAGTGTGTCTCCTGCAGGGCAATAACATCATATTTGTCTGCTGCCGTGCGAAGCCACGTGCGAAGCTCGGCCCACTGCTGTTGTCCTAAGTGCCCTGCGTTCCAGGTGAGTACTCGGAGTGGCTTAGCCATTGCTCCCCCTCTGGATCTTGGCATTGTGCGCTTAGGTGCAGGCGTCTGCTGTGTGGAGCCCCCATCTGCAGGTTGGGCAGGGGGATTCAATCCACTCCGTGCAACATATTCAGGTGTCAAGATGCCTCGCCTATAAGAAATGCTTTGTTGAGTGCGTGAAACTAACGTGCAAGCTCTCCTGAATGCAACTTTACGAATGCTCCGAAAATTGTTGGGGTGCTCAGAAGGTACCGCCATCCGCTAGTTTTTCCCCACGCCGAGCGATACTGAGATAGCTTTTCGTGAGTACTCCTTCCACCTCGCGGAGCAGTGGAAACACCTCTCGCCTACCTCCTGAGTGGTTGACTGCAATGTCTGAGCTCAGGAGGCCCGGGAATTGGGACCCGGCAGATCAGACAGCACAAAGAACGCGGCTCACCATGGCTCACTGTAAGGCACAAGCTGTTACGTTCCCCTGAGGGCTGGTTGAACCTCTAGGACAGCAGTTGCGCCCAAAGCCCGGTTTACCAGGATGCAAGTGCCCGGCCGTCTGATCCGTGGCGGCTACGACTACTATTACTATTACTACTACTACTAGGCTAGCGCGCCCCAGGGCGCCTGGTGGGTTTGCTGTGGTAAAACCGCCGGACATAGGTGTTTTGCGCCATTTCCAGTAGAGGCCGAAAAATCACCAAAAAAAAAACTACTCGCGGGCACGCAAAATGAAGGTTTCAGGGTTTGGAAGGGATGTGCTGGGATCTGGGTTGCTTAACTGCCCACTTTGGGCAGGTATCTCGGGGCATTAACTGTTTGCTTCTAGGGCTGGGGGGGGGGGGTGGGTTGAAGCTTAGTCGCTTGCAAGGTACTCGGGCCTTAACGTTTTGCTTCTAGCTGGGGGTGGGGGGGGGGGGGGGGGGGGGTGGGAAGGCGATCTGGGGCCCTTACTTTTTGCTTCTAGGTCTGGGGGGGGGGGTTGAAGCTCAAGGCTACAGAATCTGGGATCTTAACTGTTTGCTTCTAGGGGGGGGGTTGAAGCTTAAGGCTACAGGGATCTGGGGCCTTAACTGTTTGCTTCTGAGAGGCTGGGGGGGGGAGGGGCGGGTTGAAGCTTGAAGGCTGCAGGGATCTGGGTGCCTTAACTGCTTGCTTCTGGGGGGCTGGGGGGTTTAGACGGGGGCTTCGGGGGCTAAAACCCTAAACCCTAAACCCTACAAAGGTGTGTGTCGGCAGCATTTTTGGAACTGCCAGGCATTCCCCTGCTGCACGGCTTTCGACAGAGAAAGATTTACTGCTGCAGTGCTCGAAGCACAGCTTGCAAAAGCAAGTTTGGAGTGTCACCAGACCAAGACTTGCGAAAGACCCACTGGTGAATCCGATTCAGTAGATCGCCAAGGTTACCGGGAGCCACGGAGACATGCCTTTCGAACCCCTGGAAAAGCCTGCACGTGAGCCGCAAGAGTCTGCGTCAGACTCACCAAACGTACAGGTTTTCGAAATCTGGAGAATAACTCAGAGTGTCACGCATTCAGGGTTGCGGGCACAGGCTGGAACATAACTTTCAGGTCCAACGTTGAGAAGAAAACGGAAGCCCACCACACTAGAACATACCGCCGCAGCGAGCAGGGCGTCAGAGATGTCCCCAGGCATGGATGCTCTGGTTACGCACATGGCACAAAAAAAAGCGAGCATCATGAACACAACGCTGCTGCGAGCCAGCTGTTTTTCGGCGCCGAAAACAACAAAAATGCCCTGTGCCCTAGGCAGGTTCGGAAAAAGCATAGTGGCATCTCAGCGATGCCCTAGTAGCGAGGCGTTGGCCGCGAGTCCTCTCCGGGAGGCGAAAACACTGTAAAACACGATGCGTTCGGCATGTGCGACATGGCATGGACGTTATCACCCCCCCCCCCACCCACCCGTAGAAGAGCAGAAAACGCACCCGAATGGCAGGCGCCCAAGGGCGCGCTTTGCTACTACTACTACTACTACTACTACTACTACTACTACTACTACTACTACTACTACTACTACTACTACTACTACTACTACTACTACTACTACTACTACTACTACTACTACTACTACTACTACTACTACTACTATTACTACTCTTACTATTACTATTATTATTATTATTCTTATTATTATTATTACTATTACTATTACTATTACGATTACTATTATTATTATTATTATTATTATTTCTACTACTATTATTATTACGATTACTATTATTATTACTATTACTATTATTGTTATTTTTACTATTACTATTACTATTACTATTATTAGTATTTCTACACTATTTTATTACCTATTACTATTAGTATTACTATTACTATTATTATTACGATTAACTATTATGGATTATTTTTAATACTACTATTCTATGACTAACTTACTTTATTATTACTATTACTTTTACTATTACTATTACTATTACTATTATTATTACTATTACTATTGACTGGGATGTTTTCGTTATTACTATTACTATTACTATTACTTTACTCTATTACTATTAACTATTACTATTACTATTACTATTACTATTACTATGAGTCTAATTACTATTATTATTAGCTATTATTTTTACTATACTATTACTATTCCTTATACTATTACATTACTATTTACTATTAACTATTACTATTACTATTAAGCTATTACTATTACTTTTACTATTACTTTTACTATTACTATTACTATTACTATTACTATTCCTATTACTATTACTATTACTATCTAGGATTATGACTATGACTATTACTATTATCTATTGACTATTACTATTACTATTACTATTACATTACTATTAGCTTGATTAGCTATTATATTCTGTTACTGTTACTATTACATTAATCTTACTATTACTATTACTATTACTATTGACTATTATATTACTATTATGGTTGGGGGGGGGGGGGGGGGGGGGGAGGGGGGGGGTGTGTGCTATTACTATTACTATTTACTATTACTATTACTATTACTATTACTATTACTATTACTATTACTATTACTATTACTATTATTATTACTATTACTATTACTATTACTATTACTACGACTACTACTATTGATTTTGGGGTAGACCTACCCCCAGGCTTGGGGTAGGCCTGGGGTAGGCCTACCCCTAGACTAGGGGTAGGCTTGCCCCTAGGCCTTCCCCCAGGCGGGTAGGCCTACCCCTAGGCCTACCCCTACCCTAGTGTAGACCTAGGTATAGGGCGATGCGTACCCGACTCCTGTCCTCGGCCCCCCCAATGTAGGGTAGGGCCTTGGGGGTAGGCCTACGCCTACCCTAGCCTAGACCCCTACCCTAGGCCTACCCCTAGGCCAGGGGCCGGGACTTCTATACCATAATACGCACGATGCGAAACCGCTGCTTCTTCCAGCTTGGGCACTGGGTTCGGGAACTGCAACTGAAAACAAGAGACTGCGGCCCAACGCTTTCGGGTCGAGGGTCAGGGGTTGATATTCTCGCCAACAGGTTAGTCAAAGAGTCCCAGCAGCTGAAATGATGCTCAGCAGCACAACAGTCTGTATCTGCAGAGTCTCCAGCCCGGCTTGGGCTCGAGCGAGGGTTTGCAGAAATGGGTTTGTCTTGACTCGTGCTTTGGAGGTATTGTAAGTTTGGTGAGGCTTAATGCAAGCACGGCGGGGATGGGTGATTTCAGATACTTGCAACCCTACGGCCCCTACCCACAGCTACCCATGTACTTTCAGCCAGTGCGTCAGGGTCTGAGCAACTTCAAGTTCAAACTCGATCTCTTTGGCGATCGTTGGTTGGATTTTTTGGGGCTTTGGGGCTGATAGCTCCTGGATGTAGCCCCAATCCTGAGAGTCCAGAATTGTTGATGTAGCGCCGATCCTCGGGAAGTTTAAACTAGTACATCCCGAGCTCTACTAAGTACCCCCAAAACCCATGAAACAGCCTCTCGAATGAGGGCACCATGTAGAGCGCAGCAGAAGACTTCAATCCCAAGCCCACGCCCAACCAACAACTGTACTCCCCAGCTTGAACTGCCAGAAGTCAGAAGAGGTGTAGCAGTGCGCAATGGTGTACGTAAGGCTACTGAGATATTTCTTGATGGCATACCGCACCTATGCACCCGAAACTGTCACCCTGAAACGCAGAGGTGCATGAGGCCTGCGGGTTGCACAGAAGAAACCCAAGGATACCTGTCCTACCCCAGCAGCTGTCGCCGGGCCATGCGCTGCCCGAGGCGGAGAAACAAACTTTCAGGTCTTGAGGTGTATGCTATGGGTGTGGGATTTAGGATTCAGACTCTACATGGAGGCTCGTGGATACAGCACCTCTTCCCAGGTAATGTAACTATGCTTGCGACTTTTTGAACCCCAAGAGAAGTCTCAGAAGCAGGTCCTTGCGTTCACGAGATTTTGCTGCCACTCAGCATGTACAGACCCCTTTATTGCTTGAAGCCTCCGCTTGCGTGGTAGGCGGGCAGATTTCGCACAAGGGGTAATACGGTATTACAATAGAAGGATCGCTACCTCGGTTGCTAGAAGGGTTGATACAAAAGGTATGCGGGATTTGAGTTTTGGTTCGATCCGATGCCCGTAATCAGAAACTTGGAGTGGTTGGGGGTCTTCCGGAGCTTACGTGCTTGCTGTTTAGGGAGCTCTACCACACTTGGGGCTGTTGAGGCTTTGTGGGTCTTAGCCCCTTCGACGGCGGCCCAGACCAATGGGCTCAACGAGGAGACTGTGCCGGGTATCGCTATACCTGGCCGTGCACCAGCCAGGGTCAGGACAGACGCTGGGCCGCACCGAAGTGCTTTCGTGCTCGTGAGAATTTATGTTGCTTTCGAGTCTTTGAAGCTTTGCTGGGTTGTCTTCTGTGGGTTGTACCCTGGTGTTTGAAGCCATGTGGGTTTTCGGTCTTGAGTGGATGACACAAGGGCTTTAGTTATGTTGTTTTTCTTGTTCACGGGGTTTGGGGCCAAGTTTATGATATTATGGCATGTGTTAGGCAGGGTAGGGTTCTATAGTTCCGTAAGTTGTGTGTTACAACGCCCTACAGGGATTCAAAGAGGGATGACGTATTCCAGCTACCAGTGTTTTCTTAGGGTCACAGCTAAGTGTAGTCGAAGTTGACGCACGTGCCGATAGGCAACCGTCCTTCAAGTAATTGAGCCGGGCAAAGTTGTACTGCTTAGGTGAAAGTATAAGTTAAGTCAAAGCATGGGATGCTAGCAGAGAGAGATATATATATATATATATTTATTTATTTATTTATTTATATATACTATATATATATATGGACACACCCCCATGACCTACCTCAGCTTCTTTTCCATTGTAAATACCGTTAAAACCTTCTCTTGTGAGCATATACATGTATATATATATAGTATATAGATAGAGATCTCGGCTGGGAGATTTTGCCCATCTGTTGCTTTCGGGAAATCGCCTACTGAGCCACATAGGTCTTGAAGCTTCTAGTCGTGCTTGCATGCATCATGGACGCGATTAGGTCTTTGCGAGTTTGTGGTGTAAGCTAAAAATCGGGAGACAGGGACTGATGCTGGAGATGTCGTTGATATACCCTCGGCCGATGCAGTCGATTCTCTGGCCAGCTTCTTTTCGGTCGGCCCGGACCTGTCAAGCCTTCATTGCTAAAATGGGATTCAGCCGGGCTCTCAAAGGCTTCCGGGGTTTCGAATCTAGGGTCTGGGGGGTCTCGGGGTTTGAGCTTCAGGGGTCTAGGGTTTAGGGGTACAGGGTTCAAGGCTTTCGGCCGGGATTTGGTGCTTGAGGGCATTTCGGGTACGGCGCTTTAGGGCTTGGGGTTCGAGCCTGGCAGCTGAACTCACGGCAAGCCTGCTCTGGTGAATGCTTCCAATGATGTATATCATGGTGCGTAGAAATATGGAGAAAAGCGCAAAGGCTGTGTACAACAGAAGCACATTCGGCAATTGCCAAACGTGGTGGGAGACCGGGAGCACTTGCCGGATTTGGGGTCATCTGGGGGCGTTTCCAGAACTAGTGGAAACTTGTGAATGGCGAACCACCGGCCACCAAGAATTCCTTCAGCCGCTTGTGGGACGCAGTGCAAAGGCGCGCAGCTCCGCGGACCTCCTCAGTTCTGCAAAGGCGCGGTGGCTTTTTGGGCTTAGAGTTCAGGGCAAGTTTTGGGTTGGTGTGCAAGGTAGGATCTGAGTAGATTCCTGGTTTCTTGGAGGCTCGTTGCTGTTGGGTTTCTGCTTGATGTCTCCTATAGTTTCTGATCGGGCGTTTGGCCTTTGATTGATTTCTGACGGATTGGGGTCCAGTGGTTTCTCGGTTCTCTCCGGACAAATCAAAAACACACATCAATTCTGAAGGGCACCAAGGGCCCCAAAGCCCACGGGATTCCTTTCTTTTTAGGATAATTGTCGGAGGTATTGGTTCATAGAATCCCCTTTCTTTTCATGTCACGCCCACGCAATGAGACTTAATCATAAGATAGAATATAGTTGACCAGTGTTCACTTACTACCTGGTTTAAGTTAGCTGGTATCCATGATGTTTCACCCGACGTGCAGGCAGGGCTCCTAGAGCTTTCGGTTGCAGAATCCTTTTAACGTTCTACTTGATGCTTGGCACAGCAAGCTCAAGGCTTAGCTACTAGGTCTGGTATGACTATCTACGTCGGTATCACTATTGCAGTGGTTTATTCATGATATTCATAATATTGAACTATGTAAACACTTGCACGGCATCGTTTACTGGAGAATGCTTGAAAGCCTGTATGTGTTCTATGGGATTTAGTAGTTGAACACGTCTTGGTTAGATTTTAGCCTTGACGCATTTATTTTGTTTACGTTGCATCCAATGTATTGGGACTCAGTAAAATCAACAAACAAATGCAAGCATATACTGACATTGTCGCAAGTATATACGAGCGCTGACAACTAAATGTTTATGAACATTCCTAGGCTATTGTAGGCTTTCGTTCATTGCCATATTTCACTTTCCAGTTTAGAATTCGGAACATGTTGTTCTCAGTAACTAAATTAGATAACAACTGGCAAAGACACTGCCAAAAAGGCTACGAGCACAGGAGGCGTTAGCTTACGTTTCCGAATTGTAAAACCTCAAGATCGTTCCCACACATTCTACTGACCAATGTCCAAAATTGCCCAAGTTTCCCAAATGTCAGAACGCAGTACATGCGATAATCCAACACAAACGCCGATGTTTTTCCAGCTTTCGGAATTTCCATCTGTTCCAAAATTTCCCAAATGTGCCGAAATTTACAAAAATGGCTGACCTAGGATACTGGATATTCGAAAACGTAAAGGAAGCTTTGTTGCAAACTTTGAAGTTTTAGAAGTTTGGAAATTTCAGAAATTTGAGTTCTTGTATCTTAAGTGACATTGTTGCAATTTCACAGGGGTTGCAAATGAGGGCAGGAGTTTGTTGGATCATATAGGGAAACATCGCTTATTTGACGCCACCCTTGAACGCAGGCAACAGTTTAGGGTTCAAAAGTTTGCGGTTACAGGTACAGGCATTTCAGCCTAGGGTGCAATGTCCAATGTCTAGGCATTAAAAAAGGTGGGGTTTAAAGAAAGGTGGAAACCCTAGGTTTTGCAGACGCTTGCCAGATGTCTACCAGTCAGTTAAGTAGTAGTATCAAGCAACCGAACGCACACACAAAGGAATGACGTCTGTCAAGCTTATTGGCACAGCACACACAGAGAAGCATACGCACACTCACCCCCTACACGCACACGCGTGCACTGCATCTGCACTTCTACACAAGATACTGTATACAGCTTCTGATTGCACTGTTCGGATTTCTTTGCTCCCACGAGCTGCAAAATAGTGTATCCAAAACTCCTCAAAAGGTTAAAAAAAGGTGGGTCACGTGGGGGGAGGGGGGGTAGCATATATATATATATATATATATATATGCTACCCCCCCCCCCCAAAGATCTAGGTATTTTCATGATTTAGCGATATCAAGTTGAATACTTGCATGGGCCCGGAGGCGATGTGAAGTTGAAGATGTAACCGCCATTTAAACCTGAACCCTTAACCGTAAAACCCTTTTGGGTTAAGTTAAGGCTTAAAAGGTTTAGGCCTTAAGATTTAGGCATTTAAACCTGCAGAAGCGAGCCTTGTCCTGCTTCCTGCACTGGTGGTCGATAAGGGCCAATAAACCAGATGATGGGATGTTCTGGAAAGAATAAAGAATCGAAAGATATCCCGTATGGGGAGCAGAATGATAGAATGGATCAATGCTATGGCGAGCACCGAAGGATCACTCTGCTTTTTCTCTATGCCTCTGAAAGCTTCACTGGGCGCTTCGTGCCCACAAGTCTGCGGATGATCATGAGTGCCACTCCGACTGTTCAGCTTTTACACTCATCAAACTCTCTTATCGGAGTGGCATATGCGGAGTCACGCGCAGGCTGAGCCTTGCTCTTGATGTTCCGTTGCCAAGCTCGTTTGCGTTTAGCAGACGTAAATTTACTGTCAAACTGTATGCTAACGACACCTCTCTGAAATGCTTGAAGAAGGTCATTGTACACAAAAGGCTTCGACAATCCATCCGCGAGTTGCTGATCAGCATCGACCCACCGAAAGCTAACACCAATGGCCTGAATCCTCTCTCGAATCGAAAGAACCTCCAAAGCCAACCTTTTCTCCTCTAACTGCAACCCGCTGGTTTCCACCCTGACAACTGAATCGTAGAGATTTTTGGAATCTGTGACCACTAGTGAAGGGAACTGACCCAGAGCTGCATCCATTTCCTGGACAGGGATCTTGGCAGGATTGTACCACTCAGCAAGGATTTGCTTCGTGAACTCATGTGAGTCCATGGAGTGACTACCTGTCTGAATCTCTGCAGAAGTGGAGCTTCGACAAACGCGGGGGAGCTTTCTACTTTGCCAGGCAATGGGGGAATACGCACTTCGTTTTCCATCTAAAACTTTACGATCCACTAGCATCGTGATGAGTCCACCTTGGGAGGATCCATCCCTTCTACACGCATATGAGGCATCATGGTACGTAATGAGGACTGGTTTCTCGATTTGGGAAGAGAATCGAATTGGGACTTGACAGTAAGCTCTTTGCAACCTAACAAGCTTATTGATCTGAATCAGGTCATCCACCCGAGCTTCCTTGAAGCATCCCTGCAAATAGGACACGCTGGCGCAAAGCCAAGGGGCAGATTGTGTTGCACGCCACGACAGAGCTCCAAGAGTAGCCCTTAGTAGCTTCCGCTCGGCTTCGTTCACTGCCTCTTGTCCTTGCTCCCGGCGTTCGCGGCTTATAGGGATCTCTGACAGTCCTTCAGCATACCGCTCTTGATTCAGCTCCACTGAGAAATCCAACCCCTGCTTGATTTCACTTCCACAGAAAACCGTTGGTTCCTGCTGAATGTCCTTCCATGACCCGAACGGAAAACACGATCGCAAAGCCTTCACCCGACCTTCAAAATGATCCCCCGATCCACAACACAACACGTCATCGACATGAATCCCTAGCAACCCACATAACAGTTGGTGTTCATCGTAAAGGCGCCATACACATGGGTCAAGCTTTGACTGAATCCAGCCTTGTTGCGTCAATTCCTTGCCTAGCTTATCAGCCCAAGCTCTAGGTGCATGAAGGAGTCCATACACGGCTTTCAGGATACGACAGATTTCATGGGGTTTCATGTTTAACATCTTGCGGACTTCTTCAGGAGGGTCAGCAAATATTTCACGATCATACTCCGTTTTATCCCCGTTCAAGAAAGCAGTTTTGATGTCTCCTATGAAGCACTTCCACTTATGCACTGCCGCCAGAGAAAGGATGGTGTTTCGATTTTGCGTGGACAAGGTCGGGCTGTCGCGCTTCAGAGCCAGCAAATCGGGATCTTGAAAACCCTTGATGATTAACCTAGCTTTAGCTTTACGCCCCTGCTGCATCCCTTCTTCGTCTGTCAGAGCCTTCCAGGTTAACACCCAGCGCATCCCGAGTATCCTCTCGGAAGGCACATTGTGTCGCCTCGCAATGGCCACTGCCTCATGTTCCAAATAGGACCCTAGCTCACCCTTCATCGCTTGAAGGAAGTCCAGCTTATCCTCATCCGACAAAGTCCTGAACTGAACCTCAGCCCTTTTCTTAGGTTTTTCATTCATAACCCAGGTATGGTGACCACCAGTCTTGATCTTATGGACATCCCTCGGCTGTACATCCATAGTGATCTCAAACACGGATTCCTGATTCTGAAGGGCCTTGGAAAAATACGCATGCAAGTCTTGGCTTTCATGGGAGGTCTCTTGAGGTGCATTTTGGGGTTCTTTGACGGGGTTCGGGATTGGTTCCCATTCAGGCTCTATCTGTCGCCACTGGAAGCATCCCAAGTTAAGGGTTTTCGGGACAGACTGATCAACCTTTTTCTTGACAGCACTAGCGATGTCACCAACCTCTTCCAGTTCCTCGAACTCACAACCCTTGAGGCAGTCAACCTGATCTTCAAACATCACACTCCGGTGCGGTTCTTCACGACGACCGAAGGGCGTCCTACTCCGGGCTCGATTCACTGAAGATCCGGAATGAGCATCTTCTCGAGTTGACTCAACCGGCGTTGGATGTTCTCGATGTGCTCCTGAGCCGCCATGTTCATCGACATGGCCTGGTAGATGGTCTGCTGGTTCTGAATGTTGGCCTGTTCCAGCTGCCCGACCTGAAGACTGAGCTGTTGCATCGCCTCCTGGAGAACGCCCAGTTGACTGGGGGAATTTTCGCTCACTGCCGGCGCGGGACTCGGCGTCATGACCTCTTCCCACTCTTCCTTCACGTCGCGCTCGCTCGGCTTGTCTCCAGAAGAGCTCGTGGTCTTCTTTTCTTGGTGCATCCTCTCGGTGTAGATCATCAGGTTGATGAACTTCAGGTTCTCGGCCTGGTGAGTCAAGACCCAGGCGACATACTGGGGGTCGGCATACGCTATCTCCACCGTTTTCTTGCCGTACTTGCCCTTCACCATGGTCTCGCTCCCCAGCTCCTCGAGAGACATGTTGCGGCATCTCTGCTTCTCCAGGCGGACCTGCTCCGTCAGCTCCTCCTGCTTCTGCTCTTGAGCCTTCTGGCTCAGAGCCTTGATCACTGCGTCCT